GAAGCAACCTAGATGCCCATCAGCAGACAAATGGATAAGGAAGCTGTGGTACATATACACCATGGAATATTACTCAGCCATTAAAAAGAATTCATTTGAATCAGTTCTAATGAGATGAGAGGGGGAAAAAAGCAGTCTGTAAAAGTTCTTACAGTGTGATTATAATTTCTAAAAAATGTCGGGTGGAGAGGGAGGTGGGAGAGGGGATCGGGATGGGGAATACATGTAACTCCATGGCTGATTCATGTCAATGTATGACAAAACCCACTGCAATGTTGTGAAGTAATTAGCCTCTAACTAATAAAAATAAATGAAAACAAAAAACAAAAAACAAAACAACAACAAAAAAGATTGTGTGGTGTCAGTCCTTCAACTTCCTTCTTCTTCACTTTGTCTTTGGAAGCATGTCAAACAGATATACTTAATTTTCATTTGTCAATATTCTAACACATGGCCACCCCTTGCTGAGAGACTGGAAAAAACATTAATGTTTTAACTCAGCATACAAAGTTGGATATGCCTGTTGGGTTAGCCGTCTGATGGTATTTGCCATAACTTCAGGTGATGGGGAAAACTTGCTATCCAGAGGTCCATGGTATCTTTGTGACACTCACAGATGTACCCCATGAATGAGTCAGCTCTGGGAGCCTGCTGTAGAGAGTATCTATAGCAAAAAGAAAAAAAAAAACTATAACAAACACTTGTGAACTAGAAAGCCTTTTGTTCCTTTTCTGTAATTTCCTTATCTGATACCTTGACCCTGGAGGACACAGAAGGCGTAAGGGACAGAAGATCAGGAAAGGCTGAAAGACCACCCCATGCCCCTTTCCCCCACTGCAAGGCTCTGGGCCAGGCAGACCTGAGCTGAGGGACTGGGGAAAAGCTCTGAATTAGATGCAACATTGACATTTTAACTGGATTGGACTTTTAACTTTTTAGTATCTTAAATGATGAGGAAGTCATGGAATTTGCTGACATAAAGGTTGGGGGCTTTGTCTGGAGGATAATAAATCCACTTCCTGATGGCCTCACTGAGTTCAGCCTCTTCAACACACTGGTTATGCTGGAAACCTCAAACTCCTTTAATCCTGGCTGTTGACCCACAGCCCTGACTCCTAGTAGGTCTTTCTTGCTCTCATCTGGTAGCATTTTCAGTGCTGTGGGGATGCTAGATCTGTCAGTAAAAGGCAACTTTAGGAGAACCATTTCGGTTGTATGGGACCAGAGAAAGCCCAGTAGGGAGATTGATTATAACAAGATAGTAACAAATCCTGGTCTGTCACTGCCTGCCTTTGTGATTTCTCTCTACCTCTGAGTTGCCTTCTCTGAAATAAATGGCCTAAAAATGATTGTAATAGACACCTCTTGTGATGGCTGTGTGACTCCATCCATTCTCAGGACACTGCCTCCGATACCTAGGGAAGTGACCCAGCATCCCTCCGAGGTGATTAACCAGGAGGGGGCATCTGTCCCAGGAGAGAGCAGGCTTTCTTTCCTGGCAGTATTGAATTGGGGACACAGAGACTAAACAATGTTGACATTGACTATCGTTAGTAACTAAGAGCAGCCCACACCCACCTGCTGCTGCCAGCCTCAGAAATGCCCAACTTTTTGTTCTTTTGGGGGATTGATGGCTGATTCCCTGGTAGCCTGGTAGCCAAATCCCTCACTTTGTTTAAACTGTTCAGAACTGTTTTATTTGACTCACAACCAAAGTTACTTTTTTTTAAAGAGTCCATTCAGCTTGCACAATTCTATTATCCTTTGATTTAATGGTACCTGATACTCTTGAACAGAGATGAATACTAACTTGAAGGACCGGTAACCATAGACATCCAGCAGCCACGGCACCAGTGGGTGACTGCAGTTTTGGCAGTCCTTACACTGATGAACACTAGAGATAGCCCTTTTAATAACATCAGATCGTTAAGTAGGTAAATTTGTACTTGTTACACATGGAGAATATTTTTAGTGTAATAGTTTATGTTACAGGTGTAAATGATGTTTACAGAAAAAGATTTTAGTTTCCAGTGTAAGAAATGTAAGCCAAGTTATTATTTTCAAGTCACCACATTAATGCGTACTATTAGATACACACTGAATCTAAAGAGTTGAGTATATAATTCAATTGGTTTATCACTTAAATCTCATTTGCCAGCATTTCATTGTACTGATTGAATTCAGGGCAATTGATGCTCTTTAGTTAATCCTCCTTGATAATGAGGACCATTAAAAAGTAGAGTTAAAATTAAACATATTTTGTCTTAAATGTCATACATTATTACACTATAATTTTAAAATGCATAGTTATCAAATCCCTATAAAAATAACTTTAGAATGAAAATACCTAACCAGATACTAAAGATTAGAAGTGAAATTGGCTCCTCTAATGTGAAACTTCCTCATCATGGACACTTCATGGTTTTTAAAAAGTTATTGTTATGACTTCCCAAAGTGAAAGGCCTGCCACTCAGTGGATAGAAAGCAGTATTGCAGATTAGTAGCTACCTTTGTGGTGGGCTTCCCATGTGGCGCTAGAGATAAAGAATCCCCCTGCCAGTGCAGGAGACACAAGAGACGCAGTTTTGATCTCCAGGTCAGGAAGATCCTGTGGAGTAGGAAACGGTACCCACTCCAGTATTCTTTCCTGGAAAATTCTACAGGCTAAGGAGCCTGGGGGTTGCCGTCCATGGGGTCCCAAAGAGTTGGATACAACTGACCAAGTGATCACACATGCACATGTACACCTATGTGGTGCTGGGTTTTGAGATGCTGTCAACTTGGTCCAGGGGACAAATGATCAAGTTATGCAGAATTAACTTGATGACTAATATTAGATGCATATCGATAATGTTTGTATATGCATTATGGAACATGCGGTCCAAAATTCATTTTTTATAAAGTAATTCTGAACTAGGAATTTTTTGCTCTCCTCCCACCCCCTGCCTCAGGGACATTTGGCAATTCTGGAGACATTTTTGTTTGTTACAGTGTGTGTGTGTGTGTGTGTGTGTGTGTGTGCGCGTGGGCGAGCTACTGGCATTTATTAATAGTGGGTAGAGGACAGGGATGCTGTCAACATTCCATAAGATATCCCATAGGAATACAAATTATTCAGCCCAAAATATCAAGAGCATTGCTGTTGAAAAACTTGGTGTATGACAATTAGTTTCACATGTTTTTGTACTAAAAATGCTTCGAATATGTTTAGTCAAAACTCTTTTCCAGATTTCATATGATTAGGCCAGTTTTGCATTCTATTATATAAGCAATACTTTTATAATTTGGATTTCTTTTATCTGCAATAATTATGTAACTTTGTAAACTGCTTCCCTGGTGGCTCAGAGGATCAAGTGTCTGCCTGCAATGCAGGAGACCCGGTTCGATCCCTGGGTTGGGAAGATCCCCTGGAGAAGGAAATGGCAACCTACTCCAGTATTCTTGCCTGGAGAATCCTATGGACGGAGGAGCCTGGCGGGCTACAGTCCACAGGGTCCCAAAGAGTTGGATATGACCGAGCGACTTCACTTTCTTTCTTTCCAAAAGTCAGGGCAGGTTTTAATTTTCACGAATAATTTCCTCAAATCTTGCCTTTCCCTGTTACCAATTTAAAGTCTCCCCTCCTTTCATTGCCTGCTTCATTCTTTTCCACCCATTTCATTAGAACAACTGAAGCACTGACCAGAAGCAAATACGGTGAGCACAGTTAAAATGTAGATAGAAGGTGTCTTTTTGTGAGGTTATGATTTCGCTTCTCTTAGATTAAAAAAAATTCTTTAGGCTCTAGGCAGATGGGGGGGGTATCTAGCATATTTTTAGTTTTGAAATAAAACAAGTTTCAGATTACTTGTAGAGTCTGAAATGATCAGTTATTTTCTGTTGGAATTAATGTTTAGGGTAAGAAAAATGTTTGATATATCTTTAAAAAAAATTCTAGTGCTTTTCACTCTTGCCCTATTGGTGTTAGTAATGAATTTAATTATGCCTCAGAGTGATGTTGGCATAGACATATGATTTAGAGATATTATAGTATTTTAAGTCCAAGGACAAAACACATACTTTGTGGAGTTTAAGACATTAAAAGTAAAATTTTGGGAAATAACATCCAAGTTCTGCCCCTAAATTCACAATACTAAAATTCCAAAGATAAAGAAATGTATAAAAACTGTGGAAAGAACACACTGAAACATCAAAATGTAAATAATCACCAGTTGCTTTTTTTCCTTAGTTTGGTGCAAGGTCACCTGGTAAGATTAGTAGTAAAGAACCAGTCTGGCAATGCAGGAGACATAAGAGAGTGGGTTTGATCCCTGGGTGGGGAAGATCCCCTGGAGGAGGGCTGCTGGTGACCCACTCCTGTATTCTTGCCTGGAGAATCCCATGGCCAGAGAAGCCTAGTGGGCTCCGGTTAATGGGGTCAACATAGAGTCGGATACGACTGAAGTGACTTACCACGCACAACTCTGAGCGTCTCCTCTTGTGGACTGCGTTTATCGAAAATTATAGAACTTTATACTAAAAAGGGTGAATAAAATGTATGTAAATTTTAAAAAGCTGACTTAAAAAAATTATAAAGGATCCCAGAGTCCTGCGACTTTATGTGGGTTTCATTTATCAATACTTAGCATATTAGAAATAACTAAGAAACATTTAAAATAGTTCTTTATTCGTTTTAAAAATAACAAATGAACTAAATGTTAACAGAAGTAATGCATTTTTTATTCATTACTTATGTTGCATTCATCTGCCCATTCACCAGGTCTGGCAAAGCCCCCTGCACCGAGAAGATGCCGGGCCCTTATTAGGAGAACAAGGTTCAGCAGTGGGGTGCAGCCGGCTCACCCAGCTCACCCGCCAACCGCCCGCGCGCCCGAGGCTCCCGGGACACGCGGCCCCGCCCCTCCGCGCGCCAGCGTCTTGAGCCAGGGCGCACGCGCAGGTCTCCGGGAGGCCGCGTCGAGGAGCGCGCGGCCGCGGCCGTCCCCTCCCCCACCCCTCGCCGCGCACGCCGGGAACCCGTCTCCGCGGCTGCTTCGGCTGCGGCGGTCGGTAGTCGCGATGGACTCTCCGTGGAATGAGCTGACCCTTGCCTTTTCTCGCACTTCCATGTTCCCCTTTTTTGACATCGCCCACTACCTGGTGTCGGTGATGGCGTTGAAGCATCAGCCGGGTGAGTGTTGGACGCCGAGGATCGTCCCCCTCAGGGACCACTCACTGCGGGGACGGCCTGAGCGGGGTGAGCGGCCGAGCTGCCTCGCGCCGGGAGTCCTGGAGTCAAGCTAGAGGGGCGCCATGGAGAGGGGGCCCGTCCGACCGCCGAGTAGAAGGGGAAACTGAGGCCGCGGAGGAAGGTGGCCCCCGACTCCGCCAGAGGAGTCACGGGGAGGAGTGCGGGGCCGCCCCACTGCCACGGGCGGGACTGCCGGGACAGGTGAAGGGCGACCGCAGCCACTTTTGGCAGTCCAGGACTGCCCTCGTTCGCCCTGGGGTGGCGCCGTCTCCCGGCGGTGCCCCCTCTTTCTTGGGAAGTATTTTTAAATGACCTGGGAACCGAGCTCCCGCAGACCGCAGGTCTGACTTCTTCGCTTGGACTAGTAACTCGTTCTGGACTGCTCTCTGGTTCTGAAAGTTGTGTAAACACTGAAATAAAATGCCTCAAGTAGGCACCCGCTACATTCCCCTAACGCGAAGGTCTCCCACCTTGCTTAGCATGTTAGACACTGGTTGCTGAGAGGAAAGTGGATTCCCACTGGGCGGTCATATGAGTGACATTGCATAAGAAGAGCGCTTTGGTGTAGTTTCACTGCCAGTAGAATGGGTATGTGGTCTTAAAACAGAGTTTTGAGTTCCTTTAAGTGCATTACAGGGAGCAATGTTTGTTTTTTTTTTGTATTTTTCATTCAGGATATGTTTGCTCCTGTATTGCTTGACTTTTGCAGTTGTTCTGCCTGCCTTTTCATTTTGTGCTTTCTTCTTTTTTCCGAGGTCAGGTATTTTCTTTGCCTTACTTTCTCCATGTTGATGCTGCCTTTGATATGCACTGTCCTACAGTCAGTGAGTGAAGGCTCCAGGATGATGCTGTGCCTCTTATGGTCTGATTTTTCATTTAACATTTTTTTAAAAAGTGATTTTTAATTTTTTGGCCGAACCAACTGCATGTGGGATCTTAGTTCCCCAACCAGGGATGGAAACCGCACCCCCTGCATTTTGAAGCCTGGAGTCCTAACCACTGGACCTATAGGGAAGTCTCTGGTGGTTTTTTTTTTTTTTTAAACTCATGGACCTCTGAAATGTTTTTCATTTAAATTGAGATTGGTAGCTCAGTCTAAATCATTGTTTGATAGAAGTTTTGACCTGGATAAAGGGAATAGTAGTGTATTAAATTGGAATAGATAATCATAAGAGACACTTTACTTGATTTGAAAATAAGTATATTTTATTACTTTATCGTATTTAATACTTGATATTTTCTTGTATAGGTTAGATCAGAGCTTCTCCTAGTATGGTCCAGGAACCCCAGGGGATCCTGACATTTCCAGCTCAAAATTACTTTTGTAATAATATGCAGGTGTTGTCTTTTTCACACTCATTTTCTTACAAGTATACAATGGAGTTTTCCAGAGGCCAAATGACCTGTCATACTGTAACAGGTTGAATGCAGAAGCAGATATGAGAATCCAGCTGTTTCCTATTTGAAGGCAGACATTAGAGAGACTGACTCAAAAAATGTGACTTTTCTCACTAAATATTTTTTGCTTTGGAAAATAGTTATTTTTCATGAAGAATGCATTATTTGTTTCAACATTAAGTGCATTTATTATTTTAAAAATGAATACATAAAAAACTAAAGATTTTTGTCATTTAAAACTTTTTGATAGTTTTATTTATTCATTTTTGGCTATGCTTGGCCTTTGTGGCTGCATGAGCTTTCTCTAGCTGCAGCGAGCCGGGGCCCTCTCCAGTTGCCGTGCGGGTTTCCCTGCAGTGCCTGCTCTTTTTGCAGAGCACAGGCTGTAGGGCACACGGGCTTCAGAAGTTGTGGCTCCCAGGCTCCAGGGCACAGTTTCAATAGTTGTGTCAAAGGGGCTTAGATGCTCTGTGGCATGTGGGATCTTCCCCGGTCAGGGATCAGCCTGTGTTTCCTGCATTGGCAAGCGAATTCTTCACCACTGAGCAACCAGGGAAGCCCTGATTTTTCTCATTTATAATTTCTAATATGCTAGATATTGGTAGCTCGAATAAACAGAAGCTCTTTGGGATCTTCAAAAAAAAATTTTTTTTTCGAGTCAGACTTTTGAAAGGTTTAATTTACATATATTCACTCCTTTAAATATAAAATTGTTATTTTGGACAGACATACAGTCATGTACCTACCACCACAGTCAAGACACAGAAGAGTTTCATCATCCATCCCAGATTCCTTCCTACGGCTTTGTAGTCAGCCCTCCCCAAACCCCTGGCAACCATTCATCTACTCACTATTTTGGGGGGCTGTAGAGGAGTCCTGAGACCAAAATCTTTGAGGACCACTGGACTAACTGGACACTGATGCAGTATTCCACCTGGCGTAAAAATGTTTTATTCCAGTACTAGTACTTGTCAACATATAAAAAGTGTAGAACTCACACTAGCATGTGAGATGAGTGCAATTGTGTGGTAGTTTGAACATTCTTTGGTATTGTCTTTCTTTGGGATTGGAATAAAAACTGACCTTTTCCAGTCCTGTGGCCTCTGCTGAGTTTTCCAAATTTGCTGACGAATTGAGTGCAGTACTTTAAAAGCATTACCTTTTAGGATTAGAAATAGCTCACCTGGAATTCCATCACCTCCACTAGCTTTGTCTTAGTAATGCTTCCTGAGGCCCACTTGCCTTTACATTCCAGGATGTCTGGCTCTAGGTGAGTGATCACACCATCGTGGTTATCTGGGTCATTAAGACCTTTTCTGTACAGTTCTTCTGTGTATTCTTCCCACCTCTTCTTAATATCTTTTGCTTCTGTTAAGTCCATACTGTTTCTGTCCTTAGTGTGTCCATCTTTGAATGAAATATTTCCTTGTCATAGTTTCATTGAGTTACACAAAACTGTGATCCACGTGATCATTTTGGTTAGCACGAGGGCGGTGTAGAAGGGCGTGCACTGATCTTCTGCTGTGAGTATTTGGGAGTGTCTGGCAGAGGCCTGGGTTGATGGCGGCCTGCTGCGGAGTCAGAGGCACTGGCAGCAGCAGTCCTGGGAGGTGCACCATGCTGCCATAAGTCCTTTTGGAGAAGGTCGGTATTACCCCTTTAGTTGTGACTAATAGTGTAGGGTTTTTTTTCATTTATGTTTTCTATTTTCCTGGGTATCTTATTGGGCTTCCCTGGTGACTCAGCTGGTAAAGAATCCTCCTGCAATGAGGGAGACCTGGGTTCACTTGGGTTGGGAAGATCCCCTGGAAAACAATGATGCTGTGAAAGTGCTGCACTCATACGTCAGCAAATTTGGAAAACTCAGCAGTGGCCACAGGACTGGAAAAGGTCAGTTTTCATTCCAATCCCAAAGAAAGGTAATGCCAAAGTATGGTCAAACACGCACAATTGCACTCATCTCACACCCTAGTAAAGTAATGCTCAAAATTCTCCAAGCCAGGCTTCAGCAATACGTGAACCGTGAACTTCCAGATGTTCAAGCTGGTTTTAGAAAAGGCAGAGGAACCAGAGATCAAATTGCCAGTATCTGCTGGATCATCAAAAAAGCAAGAGAGTTCCAGAAAAACATCTATTTCTGCTTCATTGACTATGCCAAAGCCCTTGACTGTGTGGAGCACAATAAACTGTGGAAAATTCTGAAAGAGATGGGAATACCAGACCACCTGACCTGCCTCTTGAGAAACTTGTATACAGGTCAAGAAGCAACAGTTAGAACTGGACATGGAACAACAGACTGGTTCCGAATAGGAAAAGGAGTACATCAAGGCTGTATATTGTCATCCTGCTTATTTAACTTATATGCAGAGTACATCATGAGAAACGCTGGGCTGGAAGAAGCACAAGCTGGAATCAAGATTGCCGGGAGAAATATCAATAACCTCAGATATGCAGATGACACCACCCTTATGGCAGAAAGTGAAGAAGAACTAAAGAGCCTCTTGATGAAAGTGAAAGAGGAGAGTGAAAAAGTTGGCTTAAAGCTCAACATTCAGAAAACTAAGATCATGGCATCTTGTCCCATCACTTCATGGCAAATAGATGGGGAAACAGTGGCTTACTTTATTTTGGGGGGCTACAAAATCACTGCAGATGGTGATTGCAGCCATGAAATTAAAAGACGCTTACTCCTTGGAAGAAAAGCTATGACCAACCTAGACAGCATATTAAAGGGCAGAGACATTACTTTGTCAACAAAGGTCCGTCTAGTCAAGGCTATAGTTTTTCCAGTAGTCATGTATGGATGTGAGAGTTGGAGTATAAAGAGTGCTGAAGAATTGATGCTTTTGAACTGTGGTGTTGAAGAAGACTCTTGAGAGTCCCTTGGACTGCAAGGAGATCCAACCAGTCCATCCTAAAGGAGATCAGTCCTGGGTGTTCATTGGAAGGACTGATGTTGAAGCTGAAACTCCAATATTTTGGCCACCTGATGCGAAGAGCTGACTCATTGAAAAGACCCTGATGCTGGGAAAGATTGAGGGCAGGAGGAGAAGGAGACGACAGAGGATGAGATGGTTGAATGGCATCACTGACTCAATGGACGTGGATTTGGGTGGACTCCAGCAGTTGGTGATGGACAGGGAGGCCTGGTGTACTGCGGTTCATGGGGTCGCAAAGAGTCAGACACGACTGAATGACTGAACTCAACTGAACCCCCTCAGTGTTCTGACCTGGAGAATTCCATGGACTGTATAGTCCATGGGGTTGCAAAGAGTCAAGTATTTTATTAGGAAGTTGGAAAATGCTCTTTTAGGAGCTGTTGGCTAGAAACCATATTTGCAGAATATTTTTGTCATTAATTTTAATTTCTTATGCTTTTAATCTGTCCTCTCTTTTTTTCTTTTTTAAATTTTCATTAAAATAAGCACATTTCTTTAGTCCTGCACTGATATCAATCTGAAAATACTCAGACTGCTATTTTCTGTTAGACATCCTGAAAATTTAATCCACAGAGATTTTTACTTGATTTTTCATACACAGTC